GAGAGAGGCACCGCAGACTCCCCAGGCCTCCTGCCTGTTGTTCTCTGGCTCAGGCCTGTGAGCTACAGGGTGCCTGGGAAGGCCATCTGAATAGTGGTCCCCCCCAGCCCGTTCAGATGCTGCCCTCTGCCCTCCAGCAAAGGAGATTGCTGAGGGGCTGGACCAGCACCATGCAGTGGACTCCCACAAGTGCCAGCCCTAGCCTTTGGAAAGCTGTGGCCAGAGATGTCACTAAATGTTCTAGGCCCCTTTCCTGTGGGCTTGAGGCAGAGTCCTTTAGGCAGAGAGTTCACGCTTGGGGTGGAAGGGATGAGGCTAGACCCTCGGGAAACTGCTGTTGCCAGGTGGTGAGGACTGGGTGTTAGAGACAGGGAGGGCAATGAGGGCTTGATGTGAATACGAACCTGGAACCCTCTGTGTACAGGGCTATAGAGACCCGAGAAGCAGAGGGAACTCTTCTAAACAGACAAAATATCCGAGCAGGTTGGGGATTAAGAGGTGGGAAGGTGCTTGGAGGACCCTAGGTGGGGCCCACATAACCTTTCCTAGGAGCTTGGCCCTGGTTGCTTGGAACAGGGGCTGGTTGATCGGGCCTCTCCTCACTTTCCACTGGGATGATTAGTTCAATCGATAATAGCATTTGGGCTGGTGAGATGGCTCAGCAGGTAAAGGTGCTTGAGGCCAGGCCCCCACATTGTGGAAGCAGAGACCGTTAGTACATCCGCCTCACGGCTTCTGTTGTGTATGAATTCTTCCCTGACTTCCAGTATCTTTCAGGCTGTCACTTTCCATGGCCTTTACGATTGTTCCTTTCACACTGGGTTGTGGACAAGTGGCTTTTAAGTTTATGTTCCTAGTTAATACTAGCTTTACAAAGACAGCGACCCTCTGGGTCTCACATGCCTCCGGGGACCTACTATCTAGTAGAGCACTAACCTTACAGCAAAGACTGCTTAAATGTTTGTTGAATGAATGAGAAGGATGAGGAAGAAATAGGGCGGGTCCAACACAAACAACAACAGACCAGAGGCAAAGCTGTACAAACATGGAGTCGGCACATATAGGGTACCTGCTACCTGTTGTGCCCAAGTTGAACCCCAAATCACCAAGAGACCGGATGGGATACAAAAGCAAAGAGTCTTCAATTAATTAACGACTTAACTGTATTAACTCAGGTCCTTCTTCTGTCCAACATGATGGAGGAGAAGGAGAAGGACCCGGTGGGACCTTAGGGCAGGGAATTTATTGGAGTAGAGCAAGGGGAGTGTCTGTCTGTGTGTGTGTGTGTGTGGGGGGGGATCCACTAGTTGCATAGCAACAGTCTCGGGATTGATGCACTTCCAGGCTTGGGCAACCTGTCCTGAGTTGATTGGCCAACTGCACCTGTGGGAATGGTTGCTATGGCCTCCCAGGGCAGTTGCTATGCTCTGTACTTCATTGTTAGCATAAAGCATAGCAAGAGCCCGCCAGCTAACTTCTGATTGGCTCCTTGCCACATGGAGGTATCTGGCTTCCTAGTGACTGGAAGGTTGGGAACTCAGAACTCAGCACATGCTGCTGAGGCAGGGGCCTTTGTCTTGCTGGGTCTTTTCTGCAGCCTGTCATGGCTGCTAAATAAAGCAGGGGGCTGGGTGAGGGTCTGGTCCCTTCACTACCCAGATCCAGGACAGGCTGGCTCCCAAGAGGCCTTGAGCTTCATGCTTTGATTCTAATCTCAGTGTCACCCCGATTTACACATATTTTCCATCTAGGTTCTGATTTGGGATTACTGACATAACCCAATTTTCCCGCTCCCCTTACCGTCCACACTCCCTGTACTCCTGGACTGCCTAGAAGATTCTGATTGTGCACAAATGGGTGCTGTTTGGTCATTCTGCTGGGCCTTATAAGTGACCTAGTTCAAGACTGGGCACAGAAATGACATTTGCTAAGCTGTCTACCTCCAGGGCAGGGTGGCTTCAACCTCAAAGCATGGTGGACCTGGAGTTTCCCAAACTGACCCACATCGACTGAGTCCAAATGAACAGCCCCACCTCTCCCCCCACCCCCACCCCCAGCCTCCAGGCCTTCCATGAAGCCAGACAAAGGCCTGGAGAGGACCTCCCCTCTGAATAAGTTCTCCACTGAGGCCCTGGAAGGAAACAGGAGGCCGAAGCCAGGCCCATCCTAATGCATCTGCCCCTAACTGGGAAGGTCCTGGTTATAAGACATCATTTCCAGAACTGCCCCTAGACACTTAGCCATGAGGAGCAGGCCCAGGAAGGCTTGGCAGATCCTTCAGACATGGCCAGCTCATAGCATCAGCAACGGTTCTGGGAACTTGGTTCTCTCAAAACCCCTACATTTTTCATAAGAAAAAGGAACAGACTTTGGCATCTTTGCTCCCCAAACAGGAACTGACCAAGACAGTGACCTCCAGCAGTCACTTCCTCATCCAGGGTTCACAAGGGGGTAGGCTTCCTTAGCCCTCTGTTTTTCCCCAGGGATCTGTGGGCAGAGGAGCCCCAACAGGAAAGAGTAGGGGTGGGGAGGGAAGGAGAGAGATTTCTGAAGACTGAGTACAGAGTTAGGGCAAGTGGGTACCTGGCATCTAATAATTACTCAATGGAGTTGTTATTTTTAATCTTGTCATGGAATGAGTGTCACCACTGTGACCTCTTAGGGGTTCATGGTTTCTTGGACCCAGGCCAGGTGTGGATTCTGGTGTGGGAAAGAGGAGAGGAGTGGCCTCAGCTAGAGCAGGAGAGCAAAGGGAGCCCACCTGGGGTGCTGAGTGGATGGGTTAGAGTGGGGACCAAGGCCTGGCAGGAGGAGCAGAGGAGACAGGCATCAGAGGGCCTCTGAGCTGTGAGGAATTCCTCAGAGGGCCCCAGGAGGCCTTGACTCTTGACCAGTGCTGGTATGACAAACCCAGCTCAGAGGAAGGCATGAGGCAATGGGGGAGGGCTGGGGGGGGGGGGGGGAAGGGCACGCAGCCTGCAGTCACATGATGACGACTCACCCGGACCAGTAACTTGCTTCACATTCCTGGCTCCTCATGGTGGGCAGCTGGATGGACTGGTCACTGTGGATAGTCCTTTGTTGGTCCAAGTTCTTGCTGTAAAGTTGAGCTTTTGTGAGCTCATGGGAGCTAACAGGGCCACAGGTTGACAGTAAAGTGAGGACATCTATGTTACTGGATGAGGTGGGCAGAGTCACAGTCTACTGGCAAGTAGAGAGAGGCTTCCTCCCTTCTGGACAGGCTAGTGAAAGGCGCCTGTGGTGGTGGACAGGTGTAGGCATCTGGTCTGTGGACCTGTAAGGGTGGCCACACCCCTTTGGTTGTGGTTTCAGGCATATGGAAGCGGAAAGAGGAGCTTGAGGTGTGGTTTTCCTTTGGTGCTTTCCTTTGGCGCTTTGTTGACTCTGGCAGGAAGCACAGGGAAATAATGCTATTGTGGTTCTTTGTATTTTTCTGTGCAGTTGTTCCCCAATAAACATCCATTTATCATTTATCTTGGGTCTAGTGACATAATTACATCCTCACCTTCAGACAGGGTGGGCAGAAGTCACAGGTCTGGGCTCTGAGAAAGGTGAGAGGCAGACTGATGGTGGAGAGAGACCATGGTCAGGTCAGATAGTAGGGGGAGACCATGGTCACAGGGGTTGGGGAGATGCCAGGGGTGGTTTGAACTTCTGTAGGTCAGTAGGGTGTTCCTTGGACTCCAGTCCTGGGGTACCTGGCTTAACCAAATACTCTTCACACTGGTGGGAGAGGGGTGTGGAAGGGAAAGGAAAAGTCTGGTTGAGTATGAGATGCCACTGAGACTTTCTGCCTCCCAGCAAAGGACAGAGAAGGTTGTGCTGGCTATCTTGTTCAATAAGCTTTATTTCTTATTGTCCCTGGCTGTAAGTGTTCGAAGATGGCATTTCCCACCTGTCTCACACACACCAGGTATCAAAGTCAGCTGGAAGAACAGGGTCAGAGGACCACTGTGAGTAGGCAGAGCCTTCTGGGTGCCTGCAAAGGCCAAGTTTATTGTTTTATCACCTTGCCTTGTTGACAGCTCTGTGACTTCTCTAGGTGTGACTGTGAAATCCACTTCCTGGGAGGTCTTCGCTGGTCTGCTGGCTTCTCTACTTCTCATTTTCGCTGGTTCCTCTGGTTCCCGGGGCCTCCCATAGAGCAAGTGCTTGAACAATTTGCTGTGTATAGTGTGTGTGTGTCCTGTACCTGTTATGTGTGTGTATGTGTGTAGATGGAGGCCAGAGACTGACATCAGGTATGTATGTCTTCATCTATCACTTCTTTCTTTCTTTTTTTTTTTTAAGATTTACTTATTTTTATTTTGTGTGTATGATTGTTTTACCTGCCTGGGTGCATCATGTGCATGCCTGATGCCCTCAAAAGTCTCCGAAGAGGACATTGAGCCCCTGGAACTGGACTTACAAACTGTTGTGAGACAAGAACCAAACCTGCATCCTCTGTAAGAGCAGTAATCGCAGTTGGGCGGTAGTGGCACACACCTTAAATACCAGCACTGGGGAGGCAGAGGCAGGAGGATCTGTGAGTTGGAGGCCAGTCTGGTCTACAGAGTGAGTTCTAGGACAGCCATGGCTACTACACAGGGAAACCCTGTCTCAACAGAAAAACAAACAAAAATAAATAAATAAATGGAGCAGTAATTGCTTTTAACCTCTGAGCCATCGCTTCAGCCCCTCCACCTTAGTTTTTGAGGCAGGATCTAAATGAAGCCAGAGCTTGCCAGTTTGGCTACCCTGGCTACCTAGCAAGCACCGGTAAACCTGCTTGTCTCAGTCCTTAATTACAAATGTGCTGAATATCTATCTAATTGGGTCCTTGTGTTTACACGGCCAGCAATTTACCGATTTAAGCCCAGTTACTGCGTTTTTCTGTCTTTAATTTGTTAGGGATTACGCTGGACAGGACGATTCAGTGGTAAGCAGTGCTTCTGCCTGAGCTAGATGAACCCCTCCCCGCTGCCTGCAGATGTCTGTAAAGCCTAGCAGGGTATGAGACACTGAAGACAGGGCTCTTGAGGAAGAGGGCAGCGTTTTTCTTGCTAGGTGTGATTTTGTGGCGCCACCTGCTGGCCAATTGTCCCAGACACACCGAACACCAACTGCGTAAGCTCTTCAAACATCCTGAGCTCTTTCCAGCCTCCGACTTCTGCAGATGCTGTTCCTTCTGCCTGGAAGTGTTTTACCTTGATTGTTATGTGTCCCCCCTCCCCTGTTTCAGAACCAGTTTAAATGTCTCCTGTTCACAGAGGCCTCCCCTAACCACTCAGAGTAAAATTATTTCTCTTATCATTAGCTATGGTTAATTTAAGACAGGGTTTCTCCATGTAGCCCTGGCTGTCCTGAAACTTGCTCTGTAGACCAGGCTGGCCTCAAATTCACAGAGATCCTCCTGCCTCTGAATTCTAAGTGCTGGGATTAAAGGTGTGCACCACCACTGCCCCCCGTCTTTATACTATTGCCACTGAAAGTTTCATATTTATTTGTTTCTTTTAAAAATTTGTTTTTTTTATTTTATGTACATTGGTGTTTTGCTATGAGTGTTGGGTCCCTTGGAACTAGAATTACAGACAGTTGTGGGCTGCCATAAGCCTGCTGGGAATTGAACCCCAGGTCCTCTGAAGAGCAGCCAGTGCATTTAATTGCTGAGCCATCTCTCCAGCCTCTCTATTTGTTTCTTAAATTATTGTCTTTCACAGTAGATGTTAGCCTGAAGAAGGGAAGTGTGTGTGTGTGTGTGTGTGTGTGTGTGTGTGTGTGTGTGCTTGAGTACCACTGTTTACAGTGTGATACATGTGCTAAGAATAGGCAAGCGGCCATATTTGCAAGTTAACAAGTTAGTTTGTTACTATTTTATGGATGCTGGCAAAAGACAAAAGATTCTGAGGACAGGGATGAAGACTTTATTACCCACAGCGATAGTGGTGGCCAGAGTGTAAGCAGTGACGCTGGTTCTTTAATGTCCAGTTTCCACCGGGTGATGTGCAGGGGTCTAGGAGACGTGTGTTTGTCATGGCATTGCAAAAGAGAGTGAACAGAGGGAATCTGCATTGTTTTTGTTGGCACTTTCACTCATTTGGCCTTTATTCTAGAAGAAGACACAGCCTTATAATGCTGGGCAAGAGGTGAAGCTTCCCTTTGCTCCACAGGGATATGCACTCTTGGCCCCTCAAAGCTTTGTACTATGCAAGCATCTTCTGAACAATTAGGAACCAAGTCAGGCAGTGCTTTAGCTCATACGATGCGTAGAAATGGGACAAGGCTTTGGGAACCCTTTGTTTACCTGGGTTTTCTGCCTGGAGGTGTTTTGCAGAACAGATACAGGACTTTGAGAGAACTGGGGCCCTCATTTAGAGCTAGGGGGCAGCTGGAATTTGTGGATACAGCACTGGAGAGGAGGGGACTGTGCAGATACAACTGAAGTGCACATGGGGTTTCCCTGATACTTGCACAAACAGGCAAGGACCAGTTATTGGAAACCATCCACCAGGAGGCTGGAGGCCAAGCAGTTTCCAGAGCTCACAGGGATGTGGGAAATGTTCCAGTTCTAACTGGCAAGAGTGGCAAAGGGAGAGGCACATGGGCTCTGTGGTTCAGTGAGTCTTAGTCATAAGATGTCTTGGTCTTGGGATGCTATCCTGAAGAATCACAGGCCCGGTGGCTTATAAACAATAGGGATGTATTGTAGAGGCTGCACATATAAGGCCAGGTGCCAGAATGAGTGGGTCCTCATGAGAGGCCTCTTCCAGGTTGCTGGATGTCTTTGTGTATTTTCATCTGGTAGAAGAGATCTAGGAGTTCCCTACACAATAATGACACTCATGAACTTCATTCACCAGGGCTCTAACCTCATGACTTACTAACTTTTTAAATGGCCCATCTCCTGACAACATTGCATATCCATGTGTGCTATTTCTTGCAGTTCTAGGGGTTAATTCAGGGTCTTGTTTAAGTTAGGCAATGAGCCAACCCATGGATTCCTGTGTTTTTTTCTTCTTTTTTTTTTGCATACGTAATCTAATCTCCTAGTTGTGACAACCTAAAATATATGCAGACACTGCCAATATTCCTACAGTGGAGATGGCTGAGTGTTACCTCTGATTTAGAACCAGTGTTCTGGACTTATCCTAATAATGCAGGAAGACAAAAGCTTGGAGGTGTTTAACTTCTCTATAAAGAACTCAACCATCTGACTCCTCACTTCAAAAGAAAAAAAAAATGAGGTTCAGATACTCAACAGTGCCAACAACATTCACAATGCCCAGCCGTATCCAATCAAAAACCACTAAGCACACTATGAAACACTGGATCAAAACCCGAACCAGGAAGCTGTCAGTGACAAGAGACAGATTTACATATCTCCTGAATCGACATACAAGAATCTTTTAAAATGAAAATCTTACTTTATGGCCGGAGAGATGGCTCAGTGGTTGAAAATGCTTGCTTTTCTTGCAGAAGACGCAGGTTTGATTCCCAGCACCTATATGATGGCTTACAATGGTATATGACTCTAGTTTCCAAGGGACTGGATACCCTCTTCTGTCCACCAGACTTGCTAGAATGTGGTGCACTCGTGTGTGTGCAGGCACAACACTCACATACATCAAAGCTAAATAAGTATTTTACTTATTCTTAGATGTGGGGTGTGTGTGTGTGTGTGTGTGTGTGTGTGTGTGTGTGTGTGTGTAAGTGTCTGCAGAGGCCAGAAAAATGGTATCAGATTCCTTGGAGCTGGAGTTACTGGTGGTGATTGTGAGCTGCCTGATGATCTGGTGGGGACTGACTACTGACCCTCTGGAAGAGTAGCGAGTGCTCTAACCACTGGACTGTCTCTCCAGCTCCATGAAAGCATCTTTTTCTTTTTTTAAATCATTTTTATTTGAATTACAAACAAGATTGAATTACATGACAATCCCAGTTCCCTTTTCCCTCCCCTCCTCCCCTACCCCCCCCCCCCCCCCCCCCCACCCCCCCCCCCCCCCAACTAAAACCCTACCTAGCACATATCCTTTCTTCTAATCTACACCTGACTCAACCTCCATGAAAGCATCTTTAAGGGCCTATTGCAGCGATGTTCAGAGATTTTAGGAAAAACAGGAACACAATGAGAAGAGAAATATAATTAAAATCTCTCCTTCACTCTCTTTGAGAGAGTTTCTTATCACATTTTTTCCCTAGAACTAAGTAAGGAATATCATATGTAAAGTGAAATAATCACCAAATGGGCTTACAGCACATTGACTAGATATTGCAGAAGAAAATTTCTGTGAACATGTGCACACAACACCATCCCAAACCCAACAAACTCATCTAAATCTATTCAGACCAAAGCCCCTGACACAGTGACTTACTGGGTAGTTTCAGCAACCTAAGGAATACATAGACTTCCAGATGGGAAACTGAAAGTGAGGGTAGAAAAAACACATTGGAAAATAATAAAGTCTGAAAAATATCCAAACATGATGGAAGTTATAAACTCAATTATAAAAAAAATGAAGCTGTATAAACACAAAGAAAACCACAAAGGCATATTATGTAACGATTCTAAAACCTAATGATGAAAGAAAAACAGAAATCAGGCAGAATGAGGGGAAACACACATTGCTGACAGAAAAGAAAGAAGGAATCAATACCACTTCCTCATTAGGAATGCAGGAAGCCCTTTCTGCTGGCTGCCCCTGAGAGGTGAGTTTTTGTTCCACCAGGGGCCTCTCCATGACACCCAGTCTTACCTTAGCCACACAGCAATGCAGCCAGCCAGCTATGGGCTAAAACCTCCCATACCACCAGCAAAATGGGTTATTAGGAGATAAACCAACAGATTTCCAACCGAATCAGGTTGTTAGTGCAGTGGTGGTGCACATCATTAATCCCAGGATTTGGGAGGCAGAGGCAGGTGGATCTCTGTGAGTTTGAGGCCAGCCTGGTCTACAGACCTAGTTCTAGGATAGGCAGGGCTACATAGGGCTTCACAGGGCTACACAGAGAAACCCTGTCTTGAAAACCAAAAACAAATAAACAGACGAACAAACCAAAAAAAAATGGGGCCGTGTTCTTTCCATGTTTAAATGCAGAGGAAGAAATCAAACCTTGGGAAGTGGCTGTGGGAGAGCCTGGATGTACCCACATGTCTCAGGGAAGATGACTGACCAGATCCTTCAGGAACTATCTGAACAGAGAGGTAATTTAGTAGCCAGATGCCTCACTTGGTGAACAGGGATAGGGTGGGGGTAGGGGTGGGGTGGGGGTGGGGGTGGGAAGGAAACCCAGCAGGTTATTCTTGTTTGAATTAATCCAGGTGAGACTTTTACAGTTTTACAGCAGGGATGGAACTTTTCAGTGTGTTGAGAGACATGAAAGAGGTCACATGATGTCACACAACAGATCTCTTCCTTCCATCTGGGTGTCTCCTAGTTATAGCTTACAGGTAGTGTAGGCAGTAGAAGAATCCATTGGGCAGTCACACCCCAGCCTCCCAAGTACTGTTCCTCAAGCTGCCCCTCAGCCCTATTTTTACCCCAACACTTACTCCCCTACTTGACTCATGATGCCAATAAAAACATTCTTATTACTTGAGAATTTTGTACCACGTTTTCTGATCGCATTCACCCCACCAAATTCCTCCAAGACCTAGCCCACTTTCCAACCTACCCAACTTTGTATCTTCTTTGTTAAAAATCCATGAAGTCCAATTTGTGCTTCCTTTACTCTAGTGTAGACATCTGGTCTGTGAACCTGTAATGGTGGCCACACCCCTTTAGGTGTGGCTTCAGGCCTATGGAATCCGAAGGAGGGAAGCTCCAGGCATGGCTTTCCTTCCCTCAGTCTTTCAGGTGGGTCTGCCTATCTGCTAGGAAGGGCAGGGAAACGCTTCTGCTGTTCTTTGATCAGTGTAATTGTTCCCCAATAAACACCCATTTATCATTTATCTTTGGTTTAGCAAAGTCATTACAACCTTGCCTTCACTCTTGGATGTGTGTTCATCCCCTGAAGAGCAGCCAACCTCCCATGAATCATACCCTTAAAGAAAACTGACTGTCCCTCCTCCACAAGCTATCAGTTGTCAATAGCTCCTCAGTTAGAGGTTGTGCCAACTTTCCCTCTCTATGTTGGGAGTATGGCTTGAGCAGGTCTTTTGTGCATTCTGTCACAAATGCTGTCACCACCCATATTTTATTCATACATGCAACTCAAACGTGACTTACTACCCTGGAGACACACTATTTCCGTTTTGACCTACCCGACAGTAGGGCAAGCACAGAATGATACTACTCTATGGAATGTCAAGCTATACCATCCAAGGACCAGTGCAGGAAGCCCTCACACAAAAACCTGAAGGCTATCAGATTGACAGCTAGAGCTGCCTCAGCTGCTCTCCTCCCATCTATAGAATCAACTGGATGCAAGTGCACAGAGCCCATGGGAGGGTCGCTGCAAGGAAGGGGAGAAGTGGAGAATGCATGTCATCAGAAGTGGGTCTTTCTCAAGAAAACGCTGAGGAGGAAGCTGTCCAAAGCTGAATGATCTAGACCTACATGGCAGTGCTGAAGACATTTGCCATACAAGGTGAATTACTGAAATTATTGAGACGGGAAGGGTCTGAAAGAACTATCTTCACATAAGACTATTATTGGATGGAGGTTTATTTTTCTGGTAGCAATGCTTGGGTGAGCAAATCTCTCTGCTCTTCTCCTTTGATTTTATTTATTGTTATGTATACAGTGTTCTGCCTGCGTGCCAGAAGAGGGCACCAGATCTCATACAGATGGTTGTGAGCCATCATGTGGTTGCTGGGAATTGAACTCAGGACCTCTCTTAACCTCTGAGCCATCTCTCTAGCCCCTCTGGTCTGCTTCTTAATGAGGAAAGGCTACTATAGCCCTAAGATTTTGTTAATGCTTCATGGTGGAAATGTTACGTTGTCCAGGCAACTTTCTGCCAGGTCTTGGTTAAAGTGTCTAGAAGTGTTTTCACAGTAGCCTTGTTTCCGTTCTTCACTCTAAATAGATACAGAAAAAATCCAAAGTAGAACACGTTTTTACTAAAGTTTAGGCTAGCTTAAATCTCGTGAAGTGAGTGGCAATTAATCCATGCTGTCCTGCAATTGTCATTGTGTAATAGGAAGGTATTTCTGTTGTTTCAGTCATTAGGACACACACACACACACACACACACACACACACACACACACAGAGTAGAAAGTGAGAGTGGAAATTGGTGATGCATGTCTGAATTCTGGCACTTGGGAAATGCAAGAAAAGGCACTCAGAGACACCTTGGGCTACAGATAATGTGCTCTAGGCCAGCCTGGGCTGCTTGGAACCTTGTCTCAAATAACAATAATAACAACAACAGCAGCAATGAAAACCAAGACTCAATTCACAAACTACCAAAGCCAGAGAACAGCATGGCAGCACCCCCTGCCCCCACCAGGTGCTGGAGATGAACCCAAGGTTTCCAACATGCTAGATGAGCTCTCTGCCACCGAGCCCAGTCGGTATGTTTTCACTAATTTTTTTTTTTAGAGGTGATTTATTTTGATGTCACAGGAGGAGAAAAGCCAGTCTTTTATACAGGTGTATAGAAGCCAGACTTAAACAAAACAAAAAAGAGCAATGTTTTGATAGAGTACGTGCATGTACAGGTTCAGATGCCAGGGAAACAAAGACCTCAACATGAAAGATCAGGTAACAACTGACTGACAGGAGAGTCACTCCATCTCATCTCATCCCAGTAGGAGCCAGGACTGTGTGAGAAGAGAAGTTTGTGGATGCTAAAGACAAAAGCTGCTTATGTTTGTGAGTCTGGGGGAACGAACCTCCAACAGGGAGAGGAAGACACTGGTGGCAACAGTTTCTTCCCCCATTACTTATCATGAGTGAAGTGTATTGGAAGAGGAGGAATCAATGAAATGTACTCTATACCTACCTTTTACTCGGGTACTGAATATCCAGTCGGGTCCTTGTGCTTACCAATTTAAGCCCAGACACGGTGTTTTCTCTAAATTTATTCGAGATTAATCTGGGCAGGACGGTTCAGTGGTAAGCAGTGCTTCTGCCTGAGCTAGATGAACACAGTCCTCTGCAGCCCCCTAAATCTGGAGATGTCTGTAAAGCCTAGCAGGGTCTGAGACACTGAAGACAGGGCTCTTTAGGAAGAGGGTAGCATTTTTTTCTTGCTAGGTGTGATTTTTGTGGCGCTACCTGCTGGCAATATCCTGAGTTTTGCATGATTGTACACATAGAAACAAAACAGCCAGGTGGTGGTGGTGCATGCCTTTAATCCCAGCACTCGGGAGGCAGAGGTT